TTTGAGGGGAACTGTGGGGGATTTGTCGTCGTCAACAGACTATAGAGGGAAACTGTAGAAAATTGATTTCGCCAATGGCTGTGACCCATGATTTCATAAATAGTGATATAGATGAAAAAATTACGCGCGCCTGTTTGGCTGAAAACGAGTGCATTTTTCATGTAACACGATAGCAAAGTTGTAACGTAGTGAAACTTTCAATAAGCGCGCGCGTGCCACCAAAATTTCGTCCATCTTGACTTTCTGTGATGCGTTTTTCGTGTAATTTACTAAAACTTAACAACATGATTTCTTGTGCAAGTTGCTTTTAATAGAAACTTGTTTTTGAAAATTTACTCGCGCTTATCAACACCAAACTGCTCTTAAAATCACGTTATTACCTATAGTGACTTATTATCCTTTCAATGGAAAAATAGTTGAAATTCCTCTTCTACCACGATTTTTATAACCTCCATTTTTCTAGCATTTTTGATCAGTGAAATGACCTTCTCTTCAGCCTTGAACCCCTAAGAGTGACTGGCTACCAGTTTCTTCTACCGGTATTATCCTTGAATCAAACATAAGGTCATGAGGTGAAGCTCTGGAGAAGCTCTTGATGGGGTCAAAGAATTCTCTATGGAGAATATGGATACCCATGTTAGGGTGCAGAGGGTTAAAAACGTATCAACGGAATGTTCGTTTGGTGAAATTCCTCTGGACATTTATTTACAATTGAATATTTGTGGTTCTGTCTGGCATTCTTAATTCAACTTTTGTTTCATGGTTTTCTGCAACCTCAACTTCGTCAACATTACTTCTCACCTCTTTCAGTCTTTCCTCTATTGTTTCCACTTTTTATGAAATCAAACTGATTTCTTTGTCCAGCTCTTTGTAGCTTGGACAAGTTTTCTTTGCGACCAGCAATCTCCTTGTCTTTCCTCGAGAGAGTTTCTGCAAGAAAAGCGACCTCCTTCTCTTTAGCTGCAGGTACGCAAATGAAAATTACAGATGCTTGACTTGAAAAAGAGGAAATACATCTATGAAACGGAGAGATGAAATTCTAAATTGTTACGAATGAATCTACTTATAGTTCAAAACTTAACAACGAGACAGTCTAATGTTTTTATTGCATTTTGTTTATAACCGCACATTGTTACGCAGTAGTCTATCACGGAACATAAAGCGAGTAGCTTACCCTAATCACATTGCAGCATTTTTGATAGAGCACTACTAGATTTCATTGAAAAGCGATTTCATGACGTTCCAAAAGTAATTGGATACTAGTCCATCACAAGCGCGTGTTTTAAGATAGTCATTCAGTTTGTGCGCACCATTTATAACCAGTATGCATCACCCCATAAAACTAACCTTTCAAGTCTTTTTCAAGTATGGCAATGCTCTCTCCAAGCTGTTCTGTTTTTGTCGCTTTGACTTAAAAAGGAATATAAAGAATACTTTTTGTTGGAGTTATGAAAGTTTTGGACCAGCGAAACTCGGACTAAAAAACGATTAACTGTTTCACTGAAGAAAAATACAGGGGATGTAAAAATCTGGCGTCATAATTACAGATTGAGTTTTCTGCGCGCGCTTATTTCCGTTAGTGAAGAAATTTGTTCAAACCCGTTTCCAAAAACTTTAGCGTAAAAGAGATTTCCCTATTTGGTTAACTCTTATCTTATTCTCTAGGGAGTGAACTAAAGCGAAGTGTTGATATTATTATTATTAGTCTCCAAATCGGTGCATTTTTGTCGCAAACGTAAATTTTCCTAACAAAATGATCGTATGTGTGGGAGCGTAATTGAATGCTAGCGAGAAATGTTTGGCTGGATTTTTTCCTCTCTGCTCTTTCCGATAGCAAAATTTAAGGTTACCGTAAGAAAACTAAGAACCTATGTGCTCATTGAGACACACCCACCTCATTGACTATGATCTGTGCCCCGATTAAGGCTTCTACAGGCTTGCGATTGTTGTCAAGGCGATTATTAGCGCCACAAACTTCTTCATCGAAAACTCTCTTCGAACAGGACTTTGCTGAAGACCCTTTATATCGTTGCCTTTATCGTCATGCAAACCATCTGATTAATACGAGAAATTCATTGTTTTACTGTTTCACAGACAGCACCGAACCCGAAATGTGATAACAAATATGTGAAGTGTTTATGGATGCTTCCATGGTAACTTGTTTATGCCATCATCTCTTGACATCACGCCCGAGTCGAGGGAGCAAGCCTGGGCGCTAAAATTTTGCAAGCGTGTGACTCTGAACTTCTGAACTTTAAGAAAGTCGTCAGACTGTTACTTGGTTTAAAATGAAACGAATCTTTAATGTCACGGTTCGTAATTTGTTCTCCAATGCATTAAAAGGGGTGGAATTCGAAAACGGTGGTCCTCCACGGCCTTCCAAGATTGTTGCCAAGGAACTTCTCGTAGAGTGCAGATATATAATGAAGATTGAGAAAAGCAATGTCAACGATTCAGGATCGGTTGAGTCATCTGCATGTTAAAATTGATCATCGTATACCCTTTTGTTTTTCTGATGTGATTTACTCAGAAAGAAGTCAGAATTCACATCCAATGAGGTAAAGTTGATTTGGTGCGATTTTTTGCTTCTTTCTTGAAGAGAAATTCTTGTTTGAAAATAAGACGATTTGTTGACAAAAGACACACATGCTTCCCTCCGCAAAGCCAAAAAGAAATAAAAAAAACTTGAAAAGCTCAACAAATGTGCATATCCTTCGCATTTTTTTTAACCTCTTTTTGTGTCAATATCATGCGTGGCAAGCCGACTTTCACTCAAGGCGAATCAACGGCCATTCCAGGCAAATCGACCGGCTTCTCCCTCTTCTATTCCAAACGAGCCGTGATCCAAGGCAGTTCGTCCTCGCCATGTATCAAAAACACATTTATTTTCTACATTTCAGTGAGAAGAATTACCGTTTTAATTAAAACCATAACTCCTTAATGTACTAAAATAACTTACAATATTCTCAAATACAAACTACAATTCAATAATCTATGTAAATGTATCAAATAAGCCTCTTCTATACAGCTCCAGAATTAAATATCTCTTCCGTAGGACAGATACCGCCCGCACACTAGCACACTTTTTCCACTAGAATATTCATTGCGACGTCGTTATTTTTGGTGAAAGACGATTTGAGCTAAACAAGTGCCCAGTACCGTTATTTTTCATAGTTTCTATTCTGCTTTCGCCTTCACCAACGCCAAACTCATATCATGCAGGAACGTATGGGTTGGTTAAACCGCAATGGGTTGAAAATCAAACTATCTTTGCTAACAGATGAGGACACATCTTTAATGGCCTTTGCTCTCAAAGTCCTTGATCAAGCAGTTTGGAGAAGTCTTGTCCAAGTTTTTTCCCCTGTTTTCTGTAGCTCGATGTCAAGCGTCTCTTTGGACTAAAAGAAAATAAATTTGCATCAGAGGACTGACATCAGGGTGAGCGGAGAGAAAGGTAAAAAGCTGAACATAGGCGATCGCTCTTTATACCTAACCGAATAAAAACATCCTATGAACGGCTCAAGAAGACAAGATTAAATCTTGCGATCGTCAGGCAAAAGTAAAGTCTGCACACGCGACAAATGTGACCCATTGTGACGAGGCCTGTTATGTATGTTTTATGTATGTTTTATGTATGTTTTAAGTAGTTTTAAACTTTTATACTTCGTTCACGCCCCTACTGAAAACCAGCTTTTTATAATGTTGATGATAGGCTAGCGTGTCTAAATAAACTTGATCTTGATCTTGATCTGTTCCAGTTCCCAAGGCAAGATCCCCCCCCTTCCCCTTCCCGCGCGGGCATTTCGTCACGTCTCCTTGATACTTCGTTGGTACCCATTTACGGTGGAATCTCAAAAATCCGAGCTTAAATTCTCGCCAACTCGAACTTCCCTACACAAATAGATTTTGCGACTTCTTATACCTTCCATAGCTGCCTTTACTTCTGTCTGGGTAACCGCTGGTCGAGGCCAACGAAGGCCTGAAAGTTGCACTAGAATCACGGTGAGCCCTGAGAAGAATAAAAGACGTAGAGAACAAGAAGATGAAGATACTTAAAATTGATTCTGTGGGTAACTGTCTTTGGATCGTTAATCCTACGCCATTAGGAATGTATTCGAAAAGGGGTAAAAGGTGTGTGTGGTGCTTGGAAGCGCTAACATCCATTAATCTTAGCGGTCAAACTGTCTGAGATGGCTGGACTGCACTTGCAACATCTAGCTCCGAGAGTGATCTCGAACAGAAAATTTTACTTACGACAAAGGAATGAAACTCCTGAAGTTCTCGTCATCTCTGTGATCTGAAAAGCGATGCAGCGAAGAATCCTTGCCGGAAAACCCATCCTGAAGTGAAAAATGAAAAAACATTTGCAGGTCAAATACGATTTAACACGGCTTTATTTTTTACATGTTTTCACCTTGAACAAAATGCGGTTACATTCTTTCTTTAAAATCACATACAATAGATGGTAGTAAGCGCTAAGAAGCTGCTTACATTTCGTAGGGTGTGAATGTCCCCAAAACAGATCAATGCGTTTATCTGAGCAAACTGCCCACCTACCCCTCCCCTAACCCAACATCAATCGACTGATACCGACTTAGGGTTAATGTGGGATCAGGGGAGGGGTAGATGCACTGTTTGCTCAGATACTGACATCGATCCACTAAAACTCTGAACAACAGAGATAATGTCAGAAAGGTTACCACGCCAGGAATGTAGTGCCCAGGTTCGCTTAGCCCGTCATCACTCATGGGTCTTCTACAGGCAGCAGCCAGCTCGTTCTTCAGAGTGGCTATGTGAGCCTTGTGTGACTTAATCTCTTCTTCCAAATGTGTCACGCGTGACAAGGCCTGCTGTTTATCCATTTCAAGCTCGGAGATACGGTCCAATGCCTGCTGCTGACACTCGATAAATGACGTCACAACATGCTGAAACCAAGAAATACGAAACAGTCGTAAGTTCCCGACGACAAAATTAATCATAAAACGGGAGGTTTATTATGGGGCGCGCACTATGGGTCCGTATAAGCCGGCAATTTTTCGAGATTTTTTGGGAGTATACACAATAATTTCTATAGAGTAGGGGCTAATATCAAGATATTAACTAACTCTGCCGGAAAATTAGTAAAGTTAATAGGACTGAGTGGAGTACAATTCGGTCTGTAACCAAATCAGACAAAATCGAAAGACCGAGACGCTGGAGTCCAATTTGTAAAGCACGAGGTCCTGTTGCTAATTAATCAAAGCTGTGACAAACTCTGAGAAACAAACTAGCCATAACTTATCTGTTTCATACAAGTAAAACAACAATAACAGTTGACGGAATTGACCTTCACGTCGGCGAAAGTACAACTATTTCGACAAGCACACCTGGCAAGATAATAATTCGGGACTCAGGCTTAAACCATCCATCGCTAACCGCTCGTCTGGAAGAATGAGTTGGGGCAGAGTGTGCTCATAGGGCCCTAAGGCACCCTTGGATAGTCGTACTTGATCTTTGCTCTGTTCCAGGGCTCTGTCGACCGACTTCAAGTAACCTGTTAAAGCTTCTTTTTCCCTGAAATGAGCGACAATCGAAGCTTTTAAACGCTGGGCCAAATTCATAACTTTAAAAGAAATATTATTGACTTGGTGTTATGACAAAATTAAGGCCAAACTTACAGTAAAACTGTGCAAGTTCATACAGAGATATTTTTTTCAATTATGAGGGGGGGAGGAGGGGAAATTCACGCAGCAGGACTAAATTTCAGTTCTATTTCTCCAACAGGCATTCCATGTAATCTTTCTGACTCGTTCGTGGCGTAAATAATTGTCGTTTACACTCACCTGGCCGCGGCAGTCATTGTTTTTTCGGCATCGTTCAGCCTGTCTATCAAAGCATTTTTCTCGTTTTCCATGTACGTCATTTGCTTTGAGACTTGGCGGACGGCGTGTTCTTTACGGCGAAGCTCCATCTTTGCCTCAGTGAGACCCTAAAAACAAAAATATGTATCTTCTATACCTCTGTGTCCAATAAACACATTCCGGGTTTTCAATATGCATTTTAGTGGGTGGCAAAACTCGAGCGAGTAGGCGCTGAAGGGCGAACTCGAGCCGAAGGTGCGATTTGTGAGAACCATACATCGAATGTCATCGAAAGCGCGTAGAAATTTTCATCCAATAAAATTAAGGCTACTCAGCAAAAGTGTTTTGTTTTGATCACGGAACGATTGAAGAACAGGGAAACAGAAAAAACCGCCCAAAATTACTCAGAATTCAGGCAAGACCTTTTTCGTTTTTCAGGACAAAACTTTGCCGATCCAAGGCACGTGTTCTGTGCGAATGTTTCTCGTGTTATTCGTAAAATGTGGTTTTATTTCCTATGACAAGTAGGTGGCGAGTTCAAGTGCATTAGCCAGCGGGTTTTGCTGGCCGCTGGCCCTAAAAGAAACCGTGCATCCTCAAAGAGGTTTGTACCTTGACAGCTTCAGCGAGTGTGACATCCTTTTCTTCTCCTTGGTTAGCGTGAAGCTCCAGTCTCTCCCCCATCTCTTGCATCTGAGTCGTCTGCTCATTAAGCAGGGCCTGGGCCTGTTGTTCTCGCCTTAGAGCGTTATTGAGCTCCTCGCAAACATTTTCAAAACGTGCCATAGGTACCATGGATAGCATCTAAAACAGGACGAAAAAAAAAAAGGTCGACAACAACTACAAATACAATTTCCAAATTTTAAAGCACCTTTAATACCGTAATCTATCTTATTAGTTCATAATATAAACTGCTGTGTTTCACAAGGATTTCCAGCCCCGAGAAAAGCCGAAACCGCACATGAGTAAAATTACGATAGGTTTTTTGCGTGTGTCTGATATCACCTAGGAGCTGCTGATGCGCGCCACCCTGTCGGGTTGATGATGATTGAATGGCAATGCGTTCACCATTCTCAATCCAAGGTCGTTTGTCGAATTTTCTTGTCAGTAAAGGCCAATGCGTTTATATAATAAATAAAACAGTACATGATTGCTTGTAGATATGAAATTTCTCAATATCTGCGTGCGCCCATGTATTTATTTTTTATGTATCTCTCGATGAAATGTCCGGTGGATTCGTGTTGGGGGTGGGGTGGGGTGGGACGGGAGGGAAAAGGGGGTGTTTAAAGAGGATCTCTAACGGTTTGGGCATCACATGCACGTGAAAGTACAGCTTAGCCCATTTTTAATCTTCTTTTTTAATCCGTATCGATCTTGGCCATCCTTGTTTTCTTTCGGGTTCATTTTTTCCCATTTGGACGTTTGTATATCTTTCCGAACTAATATTTTGTTTTTTCTCTACTCATTGGAAAATTTCAGTACCATTTTCCAAGTTTCCGAAAACGACTGAAAATGTTTTGGAGTAATTCCCCTGAGCAACGAGGCGGTTTCTTGTTCAGTATTTCCTTTCTATAAAGTTGCTTTTTGTGGAGACAGGAAATTCAGAGTGAAGAGGCCGGGAGGAAAAACTTCCAGCAACGACAAGTGTAAACAAACCTCTTCTTTCATTTCCTGAAGTCTCTCCTCCAGACCCCGCGCTTCCTCTTTGGCCTTACGATGCTGCGTCTCAGAAGAGGACTGGACACTCTTTATCTCTGCAGTCTCCTGTTTACTTCTGGAGAGTTCAAGTCTGAGTGAACGTCTGTCGACTTCTGCCGCATGAAGGCGCTGAGTAAAGCCAAGGATTTGACTCTGAAGTGCACTAATTGTTCGCTATAGAACGACAAAGAAAGATATTCGAAACAGTAGCTTGGTATAGTGCCAACATAGTTAGCGGGGGTGACTGGTTAGCCACCAGATTTCTTTGTTACAGGTTAAGATTGGGATCGTTGGACCTAGCTGTACAGTGTTGAATACCAATTCCCGTCATTTTCTTCTAATCTAACAAAAGAAACTTCCCGTTTATTTACAATTCACAGCGACATAGAGTGAACAGTGGCTTGTTCGCTGCTCGCGCCAAAAATATCAAGTTTTCGTATAGATCTACAAGCGTGCCATCATTAATGCTGCGATCTGATTGGCCATGCTAATCGCTATCTATTCCGTGATAAACAGTGAGTACAGTGAGTGGCCTAACATTGTGTGATTCTAAACAAAATACAATAAAAACACGAGCCTGTCTTGTTAATAAGTTTTGAACTACATAAAAGATTCATACCAAGGCCATAAGATTATACACTCTCGATTGCTATGCGTGATAGTTGATTTGACTTTTGTCCGCATCAACTGTAACGCAATAGAATCTTTAATTTGAAACAGGAGAAATTCTGTTGTTTCATTCACATCCCCACCGCGAAAAATGATTCAGGGAGAGAGCAATTTTCAGTTGAGTGTTGAAAGTAATCAAGGATTGCTTTGGTTTTGCTTTGCTTCGCCCTGTGATTGGTCGAAAAAATTCGCGCCACTTTCTCAACCAATCAGATGCAAAACTAAAACCAATCATAACTTGGCCGCCCGCCTTTTCCCGCGCTTTAGGTAGTTTGGATGTTTTCATTCTAAGTTGTCATCGGCTCTTAGGTATTTTCGTTTCTTCCTTGGCCATTATAATAATACATAATTGGTCTCTCACCTGAGACGATATGTAAGATAATCCTTGCACAGGTGCTTTAGCCAGCCATTGTTGGAGTCCCAAGCCCAAAGACGCCATCATCTCCCCTCGGAAACCTGAGTACCTCTCGTGCCAAGCCTCTTCTCCTATCACCCGTCCAGAGAACTCTGTTTGAAGCCTGGAGATAATTTTACTGTAGGCACCTCTGGCTGCTGCTATTATATTGTTCCCAGTCAAAGGACTCTGTGCTCTGCTAGATCCATCTGCGAAATAAATTGAAGAGTAAACAACGCAGCATTAACCTAATCCTGGGTTAACTGCAAACAAAAACGATATGTTATCCTGGCAGTAAGTTCTAGGTTGATTCTTCTAATCTCGTGCCTGACAGAAAAGTCAGTCTCAAAACGCGGCCAGCAGTCATTTTTCATGCACATTTTCTTTTAAAGAGGAGATAAAAATCACGCGGATAAAAATGTTTGATCGGGTCTAGTTACTTTAGTACCCCTCTTGGCAAATATCCTACCGTGTTCATCCCTCCTAGAGTCTCCATCCTCTGCCTCGTTCATCTTGTTGAGAGCCGACTGCAGTTCGCTCACAGCACTAATGAGGTGACTTTGTAACTGAGAGCTGGTTAACCAAGCCTGTGCTGACGTCACCCTAGCACCTGCGCGTGACGTGTCCCCTACTGAAGACTCTCGTTTGTGTTTGTTAACCACACCTGAAACCATGCAAGTTTTTTAGGGACACTGGCAAAATGCATAACAGAAAGGAAGGAGAGCGCTGTTTCCTTCTTTAATTCTTTTTTAAGTCCTCTCCATCTTTGGCAATCTTTTTCCTTCATAGTTCATTATTAGTTCTTTTGACTCTTTCTATTTCACCAAAAAAAATCTTTTGTGGTCTCCTTCAAGGTAAAGAGACTTTTCGAGCGCTGCACAAAAAAATGACTCAAATATCGTCAAATACCCACCCCTGAAGTCAGCTTTCCTTGACATTTGCCCGCAGCACACAATAGACATCCCGCCAAACTCGCCGGGAGACTCAGACGACACAAACAACTTTAAACTAAAGGAGCCAAAATGGCGCAGTCTGTTGGCAGCAATAACAGCTATGACACCCACTCTAAACACCAACACGGGACAGCGGCCATCTCTCAGGGACCGCTTTTTCGATTGAGGAGCATCTTTTCCCCTCTTCTCAGCTTCCATCTCGTGGCTTAACATTTCCCCCAAAGTGTTCGTCTTATCTCGAAGAGATTCTAATGTTCTCACATATTCGGATAATATCCTACGCTGAGAGGCCAAAGCTCGTATTCTCCCAAACGCAGGCCATAGGGCGCCCGCGAGAAGTGCACAAACAGTCAACAGAGAAGACTCGCTTCTATGTATTTCCTCCAAAGACAACTGAAGCCGTGCGTTCTCCATTTCGAGTGTATCCTTAGCTTGGCCTGTTTCGTGAGCTCTTTCCCAAGCCTGGTCTGCTAATGTTTGCGTTTTCTATGAGAAGGAGAAGGCAACAAAGTTCCAAACATTTGTCACAAGTGTGCAATAGAGGAAAAGGGTGGGAGGCTATTCAAATCGTCAGCGGAAAGAATGTTGTCTTCTATTGATATTAGAGATTAAAACCTGGTTACCGAGGTGTCCTGCATAATGCACATAAACTTTACTCAATCAAGTTACTGTCTTTCAGTGAAAGTGCATCACGCCACTTCGATACGTTTCACGCCACGATCTTCTTTTTCACACCTCGTAAAACAAAAAATATCGCTAATTGGTAAATTTTTCAAGCTACGCGGTAGGTTTGGACCTAAATATCTGTGACCTAATCGGTCCCAAACTACTCACGGTGTTACCTGAGTCCTGGAATGAAGATCTTTTATCAATTTACTGTAATGCTCCTCAAGCTCAGCCTTCTGTTTCTTCCACGACACTTCGCGGTCTTTAATGGCAGAGGAGAGCTGGGAAGGGTTTCAAACAAGATGTGAGATTCTCAGAGGTATAATAATTTAGAGGGAATTTGATTTTCGAAGTGTTTACCTTGGTCACTGTTTGTTCGTGAGCTTCTTGCACTTGTCGGAGTGACTCTTCTTTGCTTGACAACACACTCTCGAGGTGTTGAATCTGCAATGATAAAAAAAAAAGCTGCCTGTAATGAGAACGCGGCGAATTATTGTACTACAGGCGTAAAACGAAGCAACAATCGTGATAATGAAACACTAGCTTTGTTATACCCTTTCAGTCGCTCTATTAAGCTCACTGAGATGAGCTGACACTTGCTCTGATACCAAATTACACATGTCCGTCCAGGAATATTTGGATAGCGCGGAGTCTGGTGAGGAAACATAGACTTGCCCTGTGATCATTCGCTGATACAAGGAATGCAGGAACATGCGATGAGTCTGAAAAGAAGAGGAACATCCCATAGTTTGAAAAACAATAGTTTGAGAATTATAACAGAGGCTACAAAATTATGTCTTGGAAAGCATTCACAAAATAATGTGTAAAACAAGCAAGTGTTCTTACCTCGTCTTCACGATTTAACACACTCTTGACTTTGATATTCTGTGAAGAACAAAATATAACAAAGGCCATTCAACGTTAACTGCCATTTCACGACTCAACAAGTTAGGGAAGGCCTCTTTTGGGCAGGCGGGCGCTCAGTAATTCTGCGGGAAAGTTCAACCGCTATCATGGCCTTCTAAATCAAATGTAGTTTAGGGAAAGAAAGAACATTTTACCGAGAGGGAGGACAATTGGCAAAGGAAAGTACTGGAGAGGAGAAGGAAGAGCACCTTTCCCCCCTCCCCCCTCTCCTCTCCCTGAAATTGAAACGCCGACTCTTTCTCCCTAAAAATATGTCGCACGGGATAATAGAATAATTGCCAGAAAATAATCAAAGGGAGACACTGAAGTAGTCATTATCAGACGGGAAAGAACGACGATGGAAATGAAGGAGACCAACACGGATTGCAAACAACAAGATTGAAGCCTCTTTGACAGAAGATAAGACAGCTGGAATTCATTTCGGAAGATTGATGATCACAATTAACTAGAAGCTTCGTTTCACCTCTTCCTCAGAGTTTTCAACTTTGTTTTTGGCATCTTCTAATGCCTTGTTCAGTGTTTGTAAGTCTATTTTCATGGCTGCAATGGTAGCTTCCTTCTCCGCGCATTCTTGGCGCACCTTGGCTAACTCTTTTACTTTAGTTGCAACTATGTTTTCCGCCTCCTACAAAATAATAATGAGAAACCAAGGTAGAACAAAAGATATCTGGTTATGGGTAGTGAAAGATTTTATCGTGTTTCCTCACATTAGGGGGCTAAAGCATATTTAAAAGTACTCTCGACTTTCAACTTTCCTTTTAACTTTGACTACATGCTTTAAAAACAGACTCCGACAACACAATTTGAAGGCAGGTCATTGCCTCTCTAAGATTTGACTGAGTTGCTGCGTAGGAAGATGCCGAATCGTAAGAAGTACTTTTTGAAGAAAATGTAATCTCTAAGGAGAATCGGATCAATATCAGTATCTGGGCAACTGCCCACCTACCCCTCCCCTAATCCAACATTAACCCTAACTTGTTATCAATTGACTGTCGTTGAGTTAGGGGAGGGGTGGGCGGGCAGTTGCCCAGATACTGATATTGATCCGGAGAATCAAGTTAGCCCTTGATCACATCCATGCTCCTTCGTTTCATAACATTCACGCTCTGTACAGCGATTTTCAAATGAGTGTCTAGCAAATTCCCACTTTCTTGAGCTCTACTTGACTTCTTAAGTTATTTGCTGTGCTCAGATTAGTTACTAAGATCACTTCAGTTTTCCTTATACGACACTGCACACAACTGCGCTCGAGGCAGCTCTTTCAGCTGATGTTTTACGATACCTACAACGCATAACAGTGTTCTTACTTTCATAGCCTTGTCCCTGCTGGTCACCATTTCCTTATAATGTTCACAGTCTGCTGATAGCTTCTCGCCAAGCTCTCGCATCCTTTTGTACTAAAATTATCGAGAAAACAAAATTGGAGTGCTGCCTTTTCGACGCTAAATTCAACATTATCGTTATCATCGACTTTATCCTTTTTATAAGTATCATAATATATACCTCTTACCAACTGAGTTTGAGGTCTGTACTGAAAGTTACGGACCGGGTTTTTTTTCCGCCATCAATTAGTACGTGCGGCATGATTGGTCAGGTAAGCAGACCGTATTTTAACCCTTTAACCCCTGAGAGTGACAAGCATTCTATTTCCCCTCACATTATCAGCCCTGAATCAAACATTAAGGTCATGAGAATAAAGGACATGATCAACAACTAAAGAAACTCTTCATTGTTAAACACATTCTCCATGTCAACACCTTAGGAAATGTATAGAGAACAGTACGGAGAATATCCATACTGATGTTAGGGTGTAAAGGGTTAATATGCGGCAAGCTCAATTAATGTCTGCCCCCTCTCTATACTACCCAGAGATATAATAAATATACGTACTAACCTCGTTTTGTCGTACGCTTTTTTGTTCGTCATGGTCCAAGTGCAACAAAAACTCAAACCTTTACAGTGCAAACCTCAAAATCGGTTATTAAGAGGTATCTAACACGAACTTACCTCAGCTGAAGCATTTGAACATCTGTTCTGATAATCCACCAATGTATGACGAAGATTCTCTAACACTGCAGCCGGCGACAGGGCCTTTTGTTTCTCTTTCTTGTAGCCTGCAGATATTTAACAGTTCTAGGATTCAGTAGGGTGAGAAAACTATAATCGTGATTTGCCGGTGGTGAACTAAAACAAATTGTCAAAGACGAAGGCTTAGACAATTGATTGATCTACAAGTTTGTGAGCTGTTTCATACTTCGAGGGTGGTATTCTTTTGTCGTAATTTTCTCTGAGAGTCAATCTGTGACAAATTAGGGAAGCGAGCCCCCACTTTCCGCGGAAAAGCGTGAACACAGATACGCATGAGCAGAATACTATTTGAAGCAAAAACATAGTTACACAGAGTTGCGCATGAGCAGACTATATTTAATTATCACCTTGTCGTTTGTGTTCCTCCGGTTTTTCGATCTGAAAATTATCGAGGAGGAGTTCTAGTTCACGCATACTACTACCATAAGTGGTGTCCAGCTGAATTTGGCGTTTCTTTGCCTGGAAAAAATTGTACCAGCTTACAGTTACCACGGTGGAAAAATCTTCATCAAATGTCAACAGGTGAATGAGAAAAAAATGTATACACTGTCATTTCTGTGATAACAATTGAAATTTTAAGGCCTTAAAATTTAAAGCTCCCTGCGAAGATTTTCCGCATAACCCCGTACTATTCAAACACAAATCCGTAGTCAAAAAGATGATTAGAGACGATTTTAAGATCCGGATGGCAACCGGAAGAACAATAAAACTAATTCTGGCACGCTATGACGTCAATGAATCGACTGTAAGGTCGTCATTTTAGCATTTTAAACCAAATTGTACCGAAGAGAGCACCAGGAATGAGAATTTTAAACTTCCGGCGGCCGTTTGTGTCTCTAAACATTTGTGCCAAAGCTTCCTTCCGTATCTTTTTCTCCAATGTTCTCTTCATTCAAGAACTGTATGCATAACGAAATCTGAGGCTGTACTAAATATCTTGCCCGCGTCCTGACCATGCACTTTCGAATTCTTTTTTTCAGTTTCCCGATCACAATTTGGAGCGAAGGTCTGCTTCAATGGCCTAAATTAATTACCTGACTGAGTTCATGTTTTAACGCCTCAAAATTCTTTTGATGAACCTCAAGCTGTTTGGACAAGTCTGTGATGATCTTCAGCTTTTCATCAATTTCTTCTTGCATTTTCTTTCTTTCATTGGCAAGGCTTTCCTCCAAACTAGCAACTCTTGTTTTCTCTGCTTTACAAGCATCTCTCTCTTCTTCAAAAGCTGCTTCAAGCTCCCTAACAGAGATGAATCATTGGGTAGGTATCCGGTTAGATCGCACCATGGTTAGATCGCTCCCAGTTAGATCGCTCCAACCAAAAGTTAGATCGCTCCACTCGAAAGTTAGATCGCTCCATCAAATAAGTTACTTCGCTACCAACGTAAGGTACTTCGTTTCATGTTGTAATGTGAAGTATTGATTAGCAATGATCTTTAAAGTTCATAGGTGATGATGTGTCTTGCGACGATTCGAGTACATCGTATTCACTCTGTCCTTCAGATTAACCACCTATATATTTATATATATATAGAGGTGACTAGAAGTATAGCGATGATGGAATAAATGATCGTGGTTACACTTCGTGAGTCCGTTACATGAGGTTTTATTTGTTCTTTCTGCGTAACTCGGATTTATTTCAAGCGCGCGCGAGCGATATTAATCGATTGTTAGGTAAGATATACACGTCATTTGATGAATTATCAATTTAGATAGCTTAGTTTTGCTACCTTTACCTTAATTTTCTACACGGAGCGAAGTAACTCATGTTAGGAGCGAAGTAACTTGTACTGATGGAGCGATCTAACTTTCGAGTGGAGCGATCTAACCTTTGATTGGAGCGATCTAACTGGGAGCGATCTAACCATGGTGCGATCTAACCGTAATTCATTGGGTACAGTGCATGCAAATATTCCTGATGTAATTTATTGTTCAACAATGTCTTCTTTTTAAAACAAACTCGATTTTTCAACAAAGTTGAAATGAATATTATCGGAAGAAATCAACCATGTGTACTGAGATTGAGGCAATTATCAGAGAAATTATATTTTGTAAGTTTCTTCCTCATAAACATAACACAGTCGTGCAGTCGCCATTTAAAAAATTAATGTGTAAGTATTGTATTCGCTGCAGGCCGTGTGATTACAAGTATATAATGACACAATTCTCGACTAATCAGGGAATTTGAATTGCCGCATAAAGTAAGCTGAGAAATCACACTATTATTTTGCTGTTGCAATTGCATGTATAATACTAAGAGCAGAAACCATCTGTACAAACCTGTGCTGCTTTGTCAATGTATCAAGGTTATGTTTAGCGTCATCCACTACAGACTTTTCGACCTCCAATGCACCTTCAAGATCTCGCACCTTCAACTAAACAATTACGGAATACATTCAATTAGAAAACACAAATCAAACACATCATCAAATATGCGTTTTTGCCCAAGCGTGAGGTCAGTATGACTGGGTATTGACTGAGTTCTTTTTTTTTTCGCGTTTTTATAGATCGCAACGAGAGAAAAACGAGGCTGATATTCAGCCATCTTAATCGAACAAGCTTGGTCAATGAAGGATTTATTGTATAGCATAAATATTTCATGGATGTCGCTTCTATGTCTTCGTATCACTTTGTAGTTTCTTGCTCATGTGGGTATGGAAAACCTGGAGAGCCAGAAAAGAAGCCTTGAAACAAAGACAAGAACTGAAGAAAACACTATAACCACAAAATGCAAGTGCCCCAACCACTGAAGCATCCTGGCTCACCACTGATAAAGAGAACAGATCATATACAGTGTTATAATCACCTGAATGATCTCTGAGTTGAACTTGGTTTCTAAATGTGCAGCTCTCTCGGCTTCAATGCTCTCCTCCAATGATTTGATTCGCTCCTGATTTTGCTGCATTAGAATCAGGTAAAAGGAAAATTAAGGTAACTTAAAAGAACTAATCATAACATTTATAGAATATTCCTAACTGGTCTAACACTACGAGTTTGAGTCACCAACAGACTGAAAACACTAAATTTTTGATTACCTTGTGTTTCTGTGTTTCTTCAAAAAAAACAAAATTTAAAATGATTTCAAAAATTTTAGATTTACTACCCATTAGGAGTCAGCGCCACAGAGTTGCTAAGAACCATGGATTTGATTTCAGCAGTTCCAGGGGTCAAAATATTTTCTCTGCCACTCAGTTGAATTTGTTCTTATGACATTCCTGAGTTAAAAATTTCCCCTATGCAACTGCTTTGTTTCTCACCATTGAGAAAGTCATCAGGTAGATTGTTATGAATATTTATCCTCTTTTTGCAACTGTTTTTATCAATACCTCAATCTCTTTCTTCAACCTCTCTTCCTTCTCAGAATAGAACTCCAGATCTCTCATTTGCTTTTGCAAAGTTTCTCCCTGACTTGATCTTTGGGCTAAACAAAATAACATTATTTCAATCTCTCAGCTGAAGATATTCAATTTTCTGATCATCACATGGTCAGAAAAACATCTAGCAACATATAATGTGACCCTCTATGTGGCAGGTCTAAGCATTTTCCCTCAGCTATTTAAGTTGGGAGGACCACAAGTAAAAGACAGCACATCAAGATGCTACCAATTGGGTTGCTATGGGGAGTAGGAAAAGTTTTGGCAACTATATTTACGGCTGAAGTTGCCAATTAGGCATCCACAGTTTGGCAGTCATGTAGCAAGGTGTACTGTTAGGCAAAATGTCCTTTTCAGTTTTTTCCTTTTTTTTTTCTTCAATTTATTTTATGTGGCAACAAAATAGTGACTTTGATAATCATTGAGCTTTGAGCCCTGATAAAGTATCATAAACTCACTTTCAAGAGATGAACACTTCTCCTGCAATTCAGCATACAAACTGTGGAACAAGAGAAGAAACCATACTAAAAACATTTATTTGATTTTATTATCATGCAAGACAGTGAAATTTTAAAACGTTGAGATCCGACTGGTCAAAGGAATTCAAAGGGAAAAAAAATATAACACCTCTCTTGTTCCTCGATTACAACATGAAGTTTCCGTTTCTCTTCTCCCTCAATCTGCAGTTGGTTTGTTAGTTGGAGAATCATATTTTCCTGTAAAAACCAAACAAGAGTACCAATTTGGTAAATACCTAGTGCTACAGCAGAAAGCTTCTTTATTCCCAAGATTTGATGGGTCTTTCAGAGCACTGGTGTTACAGATGTGTACACTTGGTTGATGCTATGTGCCAACTGTTAGCAGAATTTGTAGGATAAAAAAGCAGCAATTGTTGGCCTGTAGGGCACAACAGGCACTTCTGAGGTCTTGCACTTACATTGGCTCCACACTGAATGCTATCTTTGAGCTGCCTCGCTTGAAATGTTAGCCAGCAGCTTAATTTCTTAACAACAAGCTTTTGTGTATCAAAAAGACCTTATATAATTATGAATCGAAATCCTTCCAGTGATAGAGTCATTTCGAGTATGAGGAGATGCCAATGCCAAAATGACTTGCGAAATTGCTCCACTCAAGAACAGAATATACTCACTAACTGGAAATGTCAGACCCTATCAGTCAAATTTGCCCACTGCCTTACTGGAATTTTTTTAGTAACTTAAGAAAAATTATGAAAATTTTCCCTCAAAAATGGAATGTTCAATATGATGTTTAACCCTTAACTCCCAGTATCTGATTGTTAATTCTCCCCTCTAGCTGCTACGCATTTCTGATAATCTATGGAGAATGTTGTGAGAAGTTTGATGTTAACTACTTCTGGGAATTTAAGGGCTAACACTCTGAACAACCTGTTCCAACACATGGTTGTTGCCTTATCTCTAAATACATAGTTTGCATCCCACCTTTTCTGCAAGTAACTGGTTAGTTTTGTGTTCTTCGTTTTTGCCAGTTTGACGTGTTTCTTCCAGGGCTTCTCCAACATTTTGTAACTGTTTCTTAAGCTGATTGATATTTTCTGTTCATATGAGATAAGTTAGTATAGAAACTGCAGGAGTCACTCTACCCAAGAGAATTAATAAGTGAAACAGATTGTGAGCAGGATAATTTTAACAATGCGAAGTAGTTGGTGATCATTTCATTTAATTTATATTATACTCCATTCCCTATTTCTAAAATAAGTAATATTTCCCCAACTTGTTTCATATCTGTATAGGATTTACAAAATTGCCTCTGATAAAAAAAGCTTCTTCAAACCCACACCCTTCCTCTCAAGTTTGCATAATACCCTAAACGTTTTAGACCACAGCATCTGATTTTATCCAATTTCAGGTTAAAAATGAGCATAAATGGATACTCTTTAGTGCCACACCTGCCTATGGTGTTTGTATTATTATTATTATATTACATATTTGTGAGTTTACCCTTCTAACCTGAAGGACATAGAGAAAGGGTTTCACAAGTAGCCTTTTGTATAGAAAAAGCAAAACAGTCCCCCAGGATGGTCTGGCCCTGAAGAACAAACATTACCTTCTCTACCACTCAACTTAATATAAATTTATTTATCATGCAAAGACATTGATGCTATTTATTTGCTAAACTGTACACACCTTTAAGATTTGCAACAGTTTTCTGGAGAGTGCTTTCCCTCTCAGCTGCCATCCTCTTCTCTTGACTGGCTGATGTGTTTGCAATAGTCAGGTCATATTCAAGCTTCTGTCTGTTTGCCTCGCCCTTCTCCACTGCAGATCGTAGCTTGGCAATTTGGCTCTGAAGTCCCATGATCTATAAAGACATAGGATTTAAAACTTAATTTTCTCATCAGTTTATAACCAAGGGAAAAATGCTCAGTTCTATTGGACACTGCCTAAAAAGCATTTTGCTTGCCAGATAATTTATTTTTTCTGCCATAGTGTCTTTAGATTTATCAAATTGAATTTATTTTCTCCAGCTTATGTAAAGAACCATTATGTACCATTACAAACCCACATTTTCACATTTTCTGTGTCTACTACACATAGGCATCCACTTGCGTATCACTACAAATAACTACAACAGCAACCAGACCTCTTCAGGCAGTTAACTTTACAAACAAAAAAAAAAGAAAAAGAAAAATTTTCTGTGTGCAAATTACTACACTTGTGCCTGTGTCAAGACCAACTGAAACATTTTTATTAATAAAAGTATTGCATTAAGCCTTCAGTTGATATTTATCAGATCACAACACTACTTTTCCAATTTTTATTACACCTATTTTGAAATCACTGGTGGTCCCTGTAATCT